TAGGAGAAGGAAATTCGACCTTCTGACAGCATTCAAAATCATCACAGGGAGCATGGTTGTTGATAGGCAAGCTTTCATTACCCTTCTCCCGTCCACTACTAGAGGAGAGAGGCTAAAACCTCTTCTCCCTATGGCCAAGTCCTCCATAAGAGCAAAATTCTTCACTGTGCGGGCCTTCTCTGAGTTCGCTAAATTTAGCAAAAAGTACCCTTTCGCGAGTAGCACAGCTCAGCTGAAGTCATTTATGCACAAGTACTATGCTTAGGGCAATCAATATCTTTTTTCTACAATTTTATCAGGCCATATCTATTCTTGGGGCTGTTCACTTTCTTGCTTTCTCACTTTCTCAATTGGCCATTTCTTATCATTTCATTGTACAATGTCCATGGTTGTTGTGTTGATGTTACTCAATGTTTTCATTGTTCTGTGTTATTAAATCCATGTGCTCAATGCGCATGCAATAAATCTAAATCTAAGAAGTGGTGTGAACGCTTTTTCGATGAGCCTGCTTCTTTGTCGAAGCATCTGAATATTTAATTCATCCACACTTGGATTAGTTGCCTGTATGAAGAGTTTGCGAGCAGTTCCCACAACCTCTTGCCTGCGAGACAGGGCACTACCACTGCGCTTCCTTGCTTTATAACTCCGTTCAAAAATCGTTTAGCAGATGGAAGACAGTTTGAGCTCAGCGTCTCGAGGCGACTGCAACGGTATAGAGCTCATTGCAAATGGCCGGACCGGCCTGATGACCTTCCCTGGTGAGTTCAGTTCTGGTCGAGTCCATCAAGGGTGTCATTAAAGGGAAGCGCCTTATACATTCAGGCATCCTCCTATATTCATGAATAGTAGAGTGATGAACTTTCCGTAGGCCCTGTAGGCATTCATAGTACACACAGAGCACTGCCAACATTCTGGGGCATTACTTTATTTTTGCCATCACCAAGAGAACAATTCAGACAGAAGTAGCCATATGCCATGATACCTGAACTGAAAGGGTTTTTTTTTCGACACCGGCATCGAATCTGCTTTCCAAATCTGCCGATCTGTCTTCTGAACATAGTTATGAAGCAAAATAGAGCAGCGATAGTGGTCTGGACTCAGGAACAAAGGATTGTACCTGACGGGTGATTTGTTCACACTTTTATCTCTAGGGGTATTTTTATATTTGCAACACTAATATCACACCTGTCTGCTGTCAAAGCGTTTGTCATGCTCCATGTGCAGTCGTAAGCAAGTAGCGCCCAAACTTGTTAGGAACTTCACGCGATATTCCTTTCCCTTCCAGATTTGGAGGACTTTTCGTGTGGAGCTTGGATATGCCACCTAGTGGCAGTTTCAGATGCTATGAAAAAACTGAGGTGATGAAAGAAAGTGGATGAAGTGGTAACATAACATCATAGTCACCCCTTCACGCACTTTGCTGTGGATGGACGCATGGGAGATTCCCCGTGGAGAATAGCCGTAAAATTTTCGAATTCGGCAGAGCGCGTCGATTGACCCTGTCGGCTGCCGTTCCATAATAAAGTAACGTCACCTTCTATGTTAAGGAGGTATTTTTTGCAGTGAGTATGCCTTTGGTGAGATTTTTCCTGATGCCTACCTCTACCGGCCCCTTCCTTGAGACTTCTTATCTCGGCTGAGATTTCAAAGCTCAGCGCTTCCCTTTAGGTGTGATTCAGTGGCTTTCTAAGCTCATATTCAAACAATGCTTATACAATGCTCTCCCTTTGAGTGGAAAGAGCCTTTTCACAATCTCTCCGGAGTAGGGACTGCTGACGCTGTCCCTTTGCTTACAAAAGAATGCAATATATTTCAGAGATAAACGAATACAGACAAAACGGCTCTCATCCAAGCACAGGAAAACTGTTTGTCCAGTCACAACATTTGAACAAGGAACCATCAATGCCACAGATTGGACGCATAATACGGCATAACTGGGTACAGGTTGAGTAATGGGCGGACCCAGCTTTGCAACGGTGCTACAAAGTCGCTGTAAAAATTGGACGCAATATTTCAGTGTTGACGATGTTTTGGTACTTCCAAAGAACTTTAGTGACATAGTGTGAGTCATCACTGAGGGCAAATGCTTATCACACGCAGGCACGAGATGCAAAAATTCTAACAACTTAGCTCAATGATGGATAAGGTAGGGAAAACGTTGATGATCGTAAAGTCCAGCAAAATACGTCTCCTGCATAGCAAACTCCTGGAGCAGCAACCTCTGCAAATGAGTCCTGAGCAACCTTATGCGACGAAGTTCACCTTAGTCGCTCGCCCGATCAAATTTTATTAAGAAGTTTGGAACCGGAGCTTGACGTCAGTGGGATGTAGTAGCATCAGGATTGCATACTGTCAGGGAAAGTTCCTTTCATTGGTTCTAATATAGAGAAGGATACCTGAATTGTATCACAAACATTGTACCTAAAGGCAAAGGTGACAGCTAGCCTCTTCGAGAAATTTTTTCCACAAGTGAGGTAGCAGGGCACCCAATCACAGGAGCTGGCAGTATCGCGACGTGTAAGTACGCAACAAGGAGCTAATGCCCTCGCTTGCCCGCTGCAATCCTGCCATCCTTACCAATACGCGGCATCTGAACCCTCTTGGCGCTTTTGCTTTTTCTCCCCAATAAATTCCTCATCGCATTTATTTGTGATTTCTCAAGCAAAATAGGCCAGCATTTTATTGCACCGGCTCATACACGGAAGCTCAATAGGCCACAGCATCCCTTGATGAGTGCGCACAGGGAGGAGAGAGAGGAAAATTAGCTGAGTGAGCATATTTAAGAAGGAACAATTTCCATCTATGAGTCATCAAAAAAGGGTTCCACACAAAAGTGAAGGTGGGCCCCCTGCTGTTCTGTTGTACTAATGCACCGGCCAAGTTCTGCACCTCGTTGCTGAATTGAACTTTGCTACTTAAATTACAGGGAAGGGCCTGATAGGAAATGGTTTATTGGTGACATAGAAATGGGACACGATTCATTCACGAGCTCACGAGCATTTTCCGATTTCGCTCAAAGATTGAATTTCACACAATCCTCACTTGTAGTTAACTTCGGTCAACGTTGGAGGCGACTTGTAGAACAGTTCATCCTCATCAGTTGGTGTGGCGAATGCAATTCTTAAACTTTGGATGCTCTACGAGAAATATTTGTGAATATTTCAGCTCATCACTGAACCGGTTTTCTACATCATTCCTACTAGTAAAAGGATAAAGGATAAAGCATTTGCCGTTGATCAATCCCTTTTTGGGATGCGGCACGCATTCTACTTCCATTTGTACATTCGTAGTGGCGTTTGAATGCGATGTGGCCTATACAATGACTTGCGGGGGCCAGCCGATGTACAAGTCAGTGTTTTTATCCTCCCAGACAAGTCTGGTACCAATTAACCGACCCCGGAGGGATGGAAGGCTTGGTTGGCCCGGGCGACTCACGACCCAGGATTTGATCCCCGGACCGCTCGCGTGGTAAGCGTGCCACTTGCCACTACACCACTTCCGCCCTTCCTCCATTCCTACTGGTGAATGAAAAAATTATGTGAGACCAAACTTCCGATCAACCGAAAGCGATCACAAGCGCGGAAACATCCTAATAACACAAGTTCCACAAAGCAAAAATTGTCAGAGATCTTCGCCAAAGTCAATCGGCTTCAAATCAATCAATTTTCAAAAAACCTCGTGAAGAGCAACGTGAGTGAAGGGCAAATCGGATTTGCAGAACTTCAAAGCAGTTGTTGTGTTAAAACTGCTCAGAGCTAAAAAACTGTGTGCCATTCAGTGTGGCCAGCACTCAAACCAAGGGCATCTGTCCACACACCACTGTACCACTTCCGGTTCAAAAATAACCTAGCGAATCTAATAATAAATACTGCCGCAGAAAATGACATCTGGTGTGCGACACGAAACTATTTCCTGTCAAAAAGATTGGCCTGAGTCATGTTCGGCACTATCCTTCCTAAATGGATCTTTGCAAATTAGCGGGATGTTGCCCGGTCGTCCAGTTCTACCAAAAAGGCAAATTCATTGGCGTAGGTATTTGTACATATATTTGGGACCAGATGTGGTATTGAGAATTGAGAGGCCGAAAAGGTAGCACTAGGTTTCCTACGAGTTGGACATGCAACAGAGGAGTCGATGGTGGGGCTGCCGCCGATGCTTCTTCTACGCAACAAGAACGATGCTTTTCTTGAGAATTTTGTGCGTTTGTCTAGGGGGAAATCCTTGACAATCAGAGAGGATCGTTCCAGTGGTTGGAACGCAATGAGGGATAGCGTTACCCATCTAAAATATATGCCAATCGAAGGTCATGATGAGTTATGGTGGTTTGCCTCTGACCTGATTCGCGACATCTCCATGAAGTCCGTTGAAACAATTACGGAGGATTGGGGACCAAATCCAGTAGAAAGTCTAATTGCTGAGGCAAACGTTAGTCGAAAGAGAAGGAATTGTCCTTCCTAACAGTAATGAGTGCTTAGCCGATGTTCCAAAACCCGAAAAGGCTCGTATGCAATTCTTGCCACTCATCGTATTGGACGGGCCACTCGCTCACATAATACCACTTTCTATTATCCCCATATCTTGAGATAAGAATGGTTTAGTACTCAAGTCCAGCACACTTGAATGATACCAGAACTCCTGATTTTTATGAAAGAGGAATAATTGTTATAGTCCCTCTTCTCAGACGAACTGTGGATTCCACAATAGATTTTATTTCGACTGATTGCACTTGCGCAGAGCTGCGATGTGTCGTTTCGAAATAAGGATCAAAAATTGACATAAGTTTCTGGACGATCCAATAATAGCGGGAAGGGTGTAGGGGTGTTGCGGATGCATTGATGAGGCGACTTAGAACTGGATTCAAGTTCTAACTCTACGCAACCTATGTGATCATGTCCATATTATCTTAATTTTTATCACACAACGGCTTGGCTTCCATTAATCAGCCTTGAGGGTAATGGCATTCGGATTCGCTCCAAGGGAATGTACCTGCACATAAGTGATGTAGAGCTCTGGTGATTGTGCCTAATTACTCTTGGAGCTCTATAAGAGCTCGACGAGCGACTGCTGGCAACTGAACACATTAAAAGATAAGTTATGAATCATAAAGCATTTGCCGTTGATCAATCCCTTTTTGGGATGCGGCACGCATTCTACTTCCATTTGTACATTCGTAGTGGCGTTTGAATGCGATGTGGCCTATACAATGACTTGCGGGGCCAGCCGATGTACAAGTCAGTGTTTTTTTATCCTCCCAGACAAGTCTGGTACCAATTAACCGACCCCGGAGGGATGGAAGGCTTGGTTGGCCCGGGCGACTCACGACCCAGGATTTGATCCCCGGACCGCTCGCGTGGTAAGCGTGCCACTTGCCACTACACCACTGATGCACCTATTTTCCTGTAAGTTATGCCAATATTTTCCTTCGAAGGACTTCACCTTCTACACAGACCAATTGCAAGATTGATGAAAACTGCAGGAACATACCATTTTCCGCCTACCACCTAGTTGTTCATTTCTAGACTCCCCATCTGTTAGTACGCCTCTATGTTTAAGAATCCATCTCCAGCCAATGAAAGATCGTATAATACATGTTTATTAACCGACCCCGGAGGGATGGAAGGCTTGGTTGGCCCGGGCGACTCACGACCCAGGATTTGATCCCCGGACCGCTCGCGTGGTAAGCGTGCCACTTGCCACTACACCACTTCCGCCCAAATTAAAATATACAGTGAATAGTGACTGAAATCGAGTTGGATCGTGGTCAACACAAATTCACTCATCTCTGTGAAAGTTAATCGCGACCATAGTAATTTGGAAGGAAAAGGTTTGGCTCGTCAATCGAATAACCTCAAAAGCAATGCACAGGCCAAACACGCATTTAAGTGTAGTTGGAATTTTGAGCAGAACGTGGCGGAGCCAGATTCTCAGTAGGGGCGCTCAAAGCTGAGCGTATGCTGGAATCTCGCATGATTTTAGTATTATTAGCAACAAAAAGATGGACAGAGAAAGTGGACATGGCTGGATGGAAAAAAGCATGCACATGGAAAATGTAAGCAGCATGCGTTCAGAAATGCTGATTTACTAGTAGATTGGAGTGGAGCCCGCACAAAAGAGGAACACTATTGATCCTTCCACAGCTCATTCTACGCGTAATATCGCCGTTATATATGATAGTCGTGCAACAAGCGCAACGAATAGCTCAGGGAAAGCCGCACTATACTATTACACATAGACAAAGCGCGATCACGCATACATTCAAATATCGCATCGAAAACCACTGGCGTGGGCTGCGGAGCTGTCAGAAATAACGGGAAAAAAAGACGATCAAATGGTGGAGCGGTTAGTTGAAAGTGAGAATTCAAAGGGAACTGTAGTACGGAAAAGGGTGGATCAAAAGCATATTCCCCTTTCCTCCCACATTGAAGAGTTTGTCTGTTAGGACACCAGGGGCCGTAAGGTATGCTTCCCCGAATGGTTGCGGGGACGAAAGTCCCTTTAAATTTTTTGTTTTGAACGATACTGTTTCTTTATTTTCAATGCATGCTTACTTTAAGCTACACACATATATTAAATGTAGGCCCTTTATCAGGACAATCCCAGTTGGGACTACAGAGAAAATTTAAAGGGATTTCGTCCCCTAACCCTTCGGGGAAGCATACCTTACGGCCCCAGTTTAGATGGTCGCCTCATTGCTACTATTCTCGCATATTTGCCTTCAGACGGCCTTAAGTCAACAGCAAACGGTGTACATGGTTTTAAAAGGAACGAATACGTTGAAAGGCGGAACTTACGATAAAGGCTTAGCTCATTGGAAATAAGGGTAGAGGTGGTCAGTGGAGCAGGGATGAAGAAGAAACCATTTGAAACGGCCCGAAACCCGAAAAATGGGACCCCTTCCTTGCCCGTTGATTTGCGCATTGATGCGACTCTCATCGCTGTGCCCTCTTCAACGCTAACGCTCTCTCTGCTATGTCGGTGGGCGTACCGCGCCAACTGCGCCAAGAGTGAGCCATGCTAGATCGCCGAGGTCAAATCTTTCGCTGCCAATTGCGCGTCGGTCAGCACCCTCAGGAGGTCCGCCTGTCTCCCAACTATGCAATTTTCCCCTTCTTTGACCTTCGTTCTTATCGTGAATTCCTCCTTTAACGTACAGCACCGACAAGGTGTATCTGTGTAGACTTTATAGTTGCCATTCTCTTATCATTATGCTGTCCCGGAGCCTCATCAGGGGATAAGTTTGCATTACACAGAGAGGCATCAAAAGTTTCATTCTGAAAAGGATCAAAAACTCACGAAAGTCCAAATATTCCACCAAATAACAAGCCAAATAACAAAAAACCCTTTGGGAAACTGCCGCGATATTTCTGGTGCATAACACCTTCTCCGGCATGGATTTGCCTTAGCCAAGGACGAAGCTATCCTTACGGGAGCAGCGCCGATAGAATGAAACTGAACTGCCGCTCTGCCGAATCGGTGACCCTTGAGGCAAAAACATCTCAGACAGCGCGTGTTCTTCGGTCTTCCCCTGTGGAGGAGGGGAGCAGGGATAAAGAGCAAGTGGGTTTGGAGATGGATGAAAGAATTTACTAGGAACTTAAGCTGTTGTATTTAATATAGGGGCGGAAGTGGTGTAGTGGCACGCTTACCACGCGAGCGGTCCGGGGATCAAATCCTGGGTCGTGAGTCGCCCGGGCCAACCAAGCCTTCCATCCCTCCGGGGTCGGTTAATTGGTACCAGACTTGTCTGGGAGGATAAAAACACTGACTTGTACATCGGCTGGCCCCGCAAGTCATTGTATAGGCCACATCGCATTCAAACGCCACTACGAATGTACAAATGGAAGTAGAATGCGTGCCGCATCCCAAAAAGGGATTGATCAACGGCAAATGCTTTATCCTTTATCCCTTTAATTTACAACATAAACATTCACAGCGATCTTTATTTATCAAGATCAGTCAGAATACTTCAAATACGCCTGCGACGGGAGCGGAGGCCCTGCTCCTAGTTGCTTAAAAGCGTTCACCGTAAAAATAAGATAGGTGAGAAGGTTCACGATCCTATGGGGTCCGTATCAAAGACCGTGCTCACAAACATTGTTTTACAGCAAACTAGGTCTTCGGACCATACTTAAGTAAATGAAAGTGTAACCTTTAGCGAGACTCACTTCTGATGGGTCTGAAGAAAATCGCGTGACATAGAACTTACGAGCTGATGGTTTCAAGAAAGATCCACTGCCATTTGTAATGCACAGCACCTACAGTTTACCGTAGAGGTCAGGTTTCTCCAGCAATTTAGATTTAATGTTTGTAGTAAGCATTTGAGTGATGTAAACCAGCGATGTCAGGACTTATGGTTAGCCCGAAGAAAGTCATGAAGAAAAAAAAAACGACCTTGTTAGCAGGGTCAACCGCCCGTTGGACAAAGTCTAACGAGAGGGGTGGAGGGTCGTATTTGGGGGGTGGAAAGGAGCGGGGGTCGTATTTCGCGAGGCAGCGTTAATGTTACAGTAAGGGAAGGGTTTGGTTCGTTTGATTTTTCATGGAATGGAGAACGGATTAGGTTGTTGGCCGAGTTGGTTGGTTGTTGTGGTAGGTTTTGTGTGCGCCAAAATTTTTCCCTTTCACACATGACACATACCCCCTCCCCCCGTTTGACAGCAATTTCGGAGGAAAAAGTGGGCGGAGTTAGGCTGTGTGGGGTGGTGTCGAATCAAATACTATAGAATCAGCCATAATGGCTAGGGTGGTGGAGGAAAGGGTGGTTGTATTGTCGGGAGCTCCTGAGTCTCATGGTGGTGGAGGAGGGTCGTGAAGGGTTGACCCTGAGGGGGGGGTCGTATCGAGGCCCTCTAGAAGGGGGAGGGGGTCGTAAAATTTTCGAAATTGGTCCAACGTGACGGTTGACCCTGCTTATTACAGGTTAGCATGGGATGGATCATTAAAGGAGGACTCCATGATAACGATAAGAACGAAGGTACAAAATGAGGAAAATCGCCTAGTTGGAGAAAGGCGGACCTGTGATGGGTCCGGACTGATGCGCAATTGGCAGCGAAAGATTTGACCTCGGCAATCTAGTCACTGTTGGCGCAGTTGGCGGGTACGCCCACCGAC